AAAAACGGGGAAGAGGTGCCGATGAAGAAAGTCGAGGACAAATTGATCCCCAAGACCGAAGATGAATTTGATGCGGAGGACATCAAAAAGGTCGAGAATTATGCAAAGGCAATAAACATGCTTTATTGTGCCGTAAATCCTGATGACTACCGCAAAATCTCTTGCTGCTCAACCGCCAAGGAGATGTGGGATAAACTTGAGGTGACGTACGAAGGAACGGACCAAGTACGTGAAGCCAAGATCGACTTTCTCACCCAAGAGTATGAGATGTTTAGAATGAAAGAGCACAAAAACATCGACGACATGTTCGACCGATTCTCCAAGATAGTCAACGATCTTCATGCTTTGAAGAAGACCTACACCGACAGGGATCTTGTGCGAAAGATCCTACGGAGCTTGACATCCGAATGGTGATCTAAGGCCGATGCCATCCATGAGTCAATCGGCACATCAAATGTCACCATCGACGGTTTAAGAGGTAACTTAAAAACGTATGAATCTACTATACTTAACCCGTCTTTGAATGACCAGAGAAAAGGCATAGCATTAAAAGCCTCCAAAGAACCGACAATGAAGGGCTCAAGCGATGATGATGAAGTAAAACTTGTCATGAAGAAGTTTTGCAAACTTCTAAGAAAGAAAGAAAAGGTTGAGGATGGCCCTGTGTGCTATGGATGTGGTGAAGCCGGGCACATCAAGAACAAATGCCCGAGAAACGGAAGGAACACTCGCAACTTCAAAAAGCAAAGAGCATACATCTCTTGGGGTGGCGACTCCGGCGACGAGTCAACCGACCAAGACGAGGATGAAACTGCCAACCTCTGTCTCATGGCACACGAAGACCAAACCGACAATGAACAAGAGGTATGTACCATTTCTTCCGACTCTTACACTTTTGAAGAAATGCAAGAAGCGCTTCATGAACTTTATGATGAATTTGTTAGCACTTCTAAAATTAACAAATCATTAAAGAAACATCTTTTAACTCTTGAAAATGATGTTGAAAAACTAGAAAAAGATAATGAAAAGCTTAAACAAGAAAATAAATTTTATGGCAAAAGAAGCGCTGACAAACCGGAAAGCTCTTCAAGTGAATGTGAATCTTGTAAAGCTTTAAAAGAAAAGGTTGCAAAACTTGAGAGTACGGTTAAGAATTTCAATACCCCCCACAAAGATCTTAACTTACTTCTTGACACCATGCATTTTTCTAAGGAAGGACTAGGCTTTGATAAAAACGAATCTAAGGAAAGAAACGCTGAGCAAACACCTAGACAACCTCCTAAGGCTCAACTTAAGAAATTTAAAAATCAGGATAATAGAAAATATAGTCAACTTAAGGACACTAGACAACCTAGACAAAAACCTAGGAATGAAAATTTGCATGTTAGACAACCTAAGAAAAATTATCAAAATGAATTTGTGCATAAAAAATAATTTTTCAAATAGACAAAATAATGCTAGGACACCTAGAAGGGAGAATTTTCAAAAACCAAAGCTTTCACAAAATAGGATGAATATGGTTAGACCCCCTAGTTATTATCAACCTAGGCATATGTTCAACCCAAACGTAGTATGCCATTATTGCAATAGGGTAGGACATATAGCTCCCGTGTGTTTCACCAGACATAGGCACTTCACCTACAATGAAACACACAAGGTATTTGGTGCTAATAAAAAGAAATCCTTTGGAAAAGGATATTCTAATCATAAACAATGCACAAAAGAAACCTTATTATTTCTTCTACTTTGACGAATAGAAGAATGTCCACATTCCGTTACCGGAACCGACACAAATCACACCGAGATATCGGCACTCCGTTCAGGTAGACTGGAACCCGCCAACCACGAGATCATGGGTTGGCCAAGGTAACTCCTAAACGATCATGTAATCGTGTGTGTGTGTGCACGTTAGGAAACGAATTTTGGGTGTGTGTGTGGGCAATAAAGGTTAACTAACCCCCAAGGACCCATAGACATACTTTGGGTACCAAAGTGTTGTTTTTTTTGCAGGTACGTATCAAAGTGAGGAACTCAGGGGAAACCAGCGATGGGTGGTTTATCCCATCGCTGGGAAGGAAGTATTTTCTAACCAGCAGCCCTCTTCCCATCGATGGGAACTTCTTCCCATCGCTGGGTGTTTGACACTTTTTTTAAAAAATTTTTTTAACGGATTTCTAGTAGCTGTCCTCCCATGGATGGGAGAACCTTACCATCGCTGGGAAGGCTGCCTTCACTTTTTTCCTCCCTTTCCAGTACCTGTCTTCCCATCGATGGGAGAACCTTACCATCGCTGGGAAGTCTGTTGCAGTTAAAAAATCATAGCCGTTGGGCACCTCATTCAATGCCTAACAGCCATATTTTTTAACACCAAGGGCCCAAATTCTCTTTTCCTATAAATATTAACAATCCTTGATCATTTTTAACACACAACTCACATTCCTCTTGCATACTTTAAGCCTCTACTTACTTTCTAAACGCTTGAACAATGGCTAGAGGAAAGTCAAGGACCAAAACCGAGGCTTCAAAGAAGAAGGCCAACACCGACGCCACGACATCTTCTTTATTTTCTCCTTATTAAATATGATTTTATTTTTATCCTTTGTATTCTGCATTTCCCTTTTAAATGAATAAAAGTTTACTTTTAAATCTTTTTGTTAATGTCAAAAGGGCGAAGATATAAAGGTTATGCATAGATTGAGGGGGAACTATTTCTAAATTGCATTTATTAAGGGGGAAACTTTTTTAAGTCTCAAATCAATCCTCCTATGCATAACCCCGTCTTGTTTGCCATTATCAAAAAGGGGGAAATTGTTGAAACACGGGTTTATCACGTTTTCATACTAAAGTCGTGTTCATTGTTATGACAGGTTTTGATAATGCCAAACCGCAGTGAACGAGACAAGTCATTGAATATACAAGGCGAGAACCAAAGACGAGAAGAAAGGAACAAGGGCCAAAAGAAGACCAAGAACGAAGACCGTAGTCTTAGTGTCGTTGAGTCGGTCACAATTGTGATCAAGACCGACCCAATCTTTACACCTTGGCTCTTTAGGCTAAAATTCTTTTCATTGCATTTCACATCATAAAAATGTTTTTGAAACACGTTTAAAACATTAAAAAAACTTGGTGTTCGCCCAAACCAAAAACCAAGCCATCCGGCGTTCGGGTTTCAGAAACCGGCGTTCGGCATTCGGTTTTCGGCGTTGGTTTTTGGCGTCTGAACTAACCAAGTGGTTTTCAACTTTTTATGATTGGTTTTTATTTCTGGGCACATTTAAATATTTTTCCATCAAAAACACTTCAAAAACCACCTTTCGTTTTTTGTCGTTTGATAAAAACCATTCGAAACGGCATAAACTTGGCTAGCCGTGGTTTTTACTTAAATGAAGTGGTTTTCAAGTCTTTTTGTGTAGGAATTGTTTTTTAATTCATTTAAATGGTTCTCCAATCAAAACATCATGAAAACCACCTTTCGGTTGTCTTTTGGTAAAAACCACCCGTGTACGGCGTTGACTTGGTCAATCGTGGTTTTTACCTTAACGACGTGGTTTTCAACTTTAAAAGCTTGTTTTGACATCACAATACATTAAATAAGTGTTTTATATACTTAGTTTTTACTTTGGAGAACTTTGCATTTTTCGGTCGGGTTTTAGTGCCGGTCAGCTAAGCCATGGTTCTGGGCTAGCCATCTACCCAGCGATGGTAGATATCACCCATGCATGGGTAAGTGATCCCGGGATTCCAGAATCATTCTACCCAGCGATGGGAGATATTACCCAGCGATGGGTAAGCAGCCTTCAGCCCAACTGATTTCCAGAACCATGCCAAACAGCGATGGGAAGTTCTACCCATCGCTGTTTAAGCCTTGGTCCAACATTTTCGCAAGGCAGAATGCCCTTACCCAGCGATGGGAACCTTTACCCATCGATGGGAGGGCATACCCATAGCTAGTTAGGCATGACCGTTGTGAGTCATTTAAGGCTGATTCTTTCCTTGTTTGAAAGTCAACCTCCCACCCAGCGATGGGAAGCATTTACCCATCGATGGGTAGGTGACCATTGGCTTCAAAACTGAAGGAAATTTTGCTTACGAGCGATGGGTGAGTCTAAACATCGATGGGAAGCCAATATCCTGCAGATCCCAAATTTATTCAATCCCATAAATCAAGCCAATCACCCCTTTAATGTATTGGTCCGTTGGAGCCTATTTTGGCACTATAAAAAGGGGTGTTTGGGTCTGCTTTACACATCAATCAACTTCACAATATTCATATTTTCATTGCATTCAAACAACATTCTTTTCCATAGCTTTCTAGAGCCAATTTGTGTGAAGTTTGAGTTGTTCTTGAGCGTACATAGTTTACTCATTATCTACTCTTAAAGAGAGTCTTGTTCTTGAGTGTTTAGTGTTGTATACACATTAAGGGAAGCTTGTTTCCCTTGGTCGTACGAAGGAAAGGTATTTTCCTTCGGGTTGAAGTCTTGGAGTGCGGTATCTCCGAGCAAGTGTATTGAGGCTCGTGGGACTCGAGTTCTCAGGTTGTAACGGTTTGTTAAGCACCCGTAAGCTTATCAGAAGTAGTGTAGCTCGAGAGAGTCTCTCGGGAGGCTGGATTAGCCACAAGTTATGGTGAACCAGGGTAAATTTGGTGTGTTCTTCCCTTACGCTTTTTTATTCCGCTCTTTACTTTATCCCTGCAATTTTTATTCCGCAAAAATTTATAAACAATCTCGTGCCTCACTATTCACCCCCCCTCTAGTGAAGGGCACTTATTCTAACATGGCCGAATCTCCCTTGAGTCTTTCCCTTTTATACTGTGGGTCTTTTGTTGTTATTTTTGTGGCTTTTGGATTGTATTCAGATGGAGTTTTCAACTTGGAGCTCTATCCTGGTGAATTTGAG